GCCAGGGACAGTGGCAATCAGAGGAGAGATTAGGAAGGAGGTTAAGGGTGTCTGTGTCCAGGTTGGAAAAGGCACTTGTGACATGAACTGAAGAGTTGTTGGCAATGACAGGAGGTCAAAGAGATGTGGTCAAGATCAGCTGAGGAGGGCAGATGGTCAACTGAGGATAGGTAGATTCCTGGAGTTCTGCGCCAGCCAATCTAGCCTTCTTAGTGAGTTCTTGACCATGGAGACCTCATCTCAAAAAACCAAGGGATTAGTCGGACATAGCTAATCTTTTCCTTGTGCATTTTGTTTGTTTTTTGTTTTTCGAGACAGGGTTTCTCTGTGTAGCTTTGGAGCCTATCCTGGAACTCACTCTGGACACTAGGCTGGCCTCGAGCTCACAGAGATCCACCTGCCTCTGCCTCCCGAGTACTGGGATTAAAGGCGTGTGCCACCACTGCCTGACCACATGTCTGTGATCTTAACACTGGGAAGGCTGAGGCAGGAGGATGGTGAGTTTAAGACTAACCTGTGCTACAGGAGTAGTTCTAGGCCAACTTGAACTATATAGCATGACCCTGTTTCAGAAAACAATTAAAGTGAGACTCAAACAATAACAATCAAATAATGCAGTTGCAGCCAGAGGTGACAACAAAACAAGGAACATGTGGAGCTGAGGGAATGTGGAATTGATGAGGGGCAAGCATCAGAGTCCCCAGTGTGGCTGGGGACTGTGGCAAGCACACTGTGGGTAGGTAGCCTAGAGATGGAAGCCAGACAGCAGAATGCTGTGGGAGGAAGGGTGGAGTCCTGGATAAATCATAGGCCTCTGGAGATGGATGTCTAGATTTAAACCTAGCTCTGCTGTCTACTGGCTATGACCTTGGGCAAGTCATTTAAGTTCCCTGTCCTCAGTTTTCTCAACTGTGAAATGGAAAGATACCGTTGTAAGGGTTGGTTTGGGATAAAGCCACTGGGCAAACAGTAATGTATTATCAATAAATATTTCCTGAGATGTTTGGAGATTGAGAACAGAGGTTCAGATTTCCTCAATGCAGGTCTACCATGAACCAGAGAGGAGGTGAGGCATTCTGGCCAAAAGAGACCCTGACCCAGGGGTTCCTGGGGTAGGGTATGTTGAGAGTGGGAGGCTAGAAAGAGGATTGGCTCCTGGAAGACTGGTAGGAGGGTGCTAGGTCTCCCTGACATGGACTGTACCCCTTTTCTAGCTCTTCCCTCCCTTCCATGTACCCAGCCTACTCCTGAAGTCACCCTGAGTGAGAGGACCCTGCCTTCTGACTCCTCATGCCTCTCATGCCTTTTTCTCCAGGTACCTGGAGACCCCGCAGATCCATCATCTTTGCCAGCTGGGGGGCAGAGGAATTTGGGCTCATCGGCTCTACGGAATTCACAGAGGTGAGTGAGCCCCACAAAAGGATGGGTGGAAGGGGTCCTGGATGGGTGGTAATGGATTGAGGTGTTCCCCCACTCTGTAGGAGTTCCTCAGCAAGCTACAGGAGCGCACCGTGGCCTACATCAACGTGGACATCTCTGTGTTTGGTATGGGAAGTTCTGCCAGCTGGGGGTGGGCTGGAAAAGGAAGGATTTGGGTCCAAACAGGTTTCCTTACTTCCTCCCACAGCCAATGCTACCCTCCGGGCACAGGGGACACCCCCTGTACAAAGCGTGATTTTTTCTGCCACCAAAGAGGTACAAGGGGTTGTGGTGGATCTATGTGGCGTGGGGCCCAGGGATTACAGCTGATCTGGAGATTGGGATCTGGCAGAGACCCCATCCAGTTGTTGAGGCTGGGTTTCCTGAGCCATCAGATGTTCCTCTCTACCAGATCAGTGCACCAGGTCCCAGTGGCCTCAGTATCTATGACAACTGGATCCGATACACCAACCGCAGTAGTCCAATGTATGGCCTGGTCCCCAGGTGAGCCCAGAAACCAGAAAGGCAGGACCATAGGCTCAGCATGTCCACCCAGCACCCTCCAAATGCTGTTCTCCTCCCTCTTCTAGCATGGGTACACTGGGTGCCGGCAGCGATTATGCCTCATTCATCCACTTCCTGGGCATCTCTTCCATGGACCTTGCCTACACCTATGACAGAGTGAGCAGTCTTCCACATCACGCCCCTCCCTGTACTGTTGCATTAAATCTCAGGGGAGGGTCTGGTATAGAGCGGCTCTGGCTCATTCACTCAGCAGCTGTGTGTCTTTACCGACACCCTAACAAAATTGACTTTGAGGAGGATGGGGTTTTTTTAGCTCACAAGTCTAGGTCACAGTCCATTACAGCAGGAAGTGACAGCAGTAGGAGCTCCAGAGAACACATTACATTCACAGTGAAGGGCAGAAAGCAATGAGTGAATGCATGATTGATTGCTGGTGCTCGGTTCAATTTCTCCATCCCTGCCCTAGGGAATGGTGCTACCCAGTATGGTCCTCCCAACTCAGTGATTGTAATCAAGATAGACTCCTACAGACACACCCACAGGCCATCCTGATCTAGACAGTTTCTGAGTCTCTTCCCAGGAGATTCTAGACTGTGTCAAGTTGACAATGAAAACTAGCCATTAACCCTGAACAACACAGGCCAACTATCTTAGTTAGGGTTTCTATTCTTTGAAGAGACACCATGACCACATCAACTTTTATAAAGGAAAACATCTAATTGGGGTGGCTTACAGTTTCAAGGGTTTAATCTGTTATCATCATGGTGGGACATGGTGGCATGCAGGCAGACATGGTGTTGGAGAAGGGGCTTAGAGTTCTACATCTTGATCCCCGGGCAACAGGAAGTGAACGGTGTCACTTCAAAGCCCACCTCCACAGTGATATTTCTCCAACAAGGCCACACCTACTCAAACAAAACCACATCTCCTAATAGTGCTTAAGGGGGCCAATTACATTCAAATTACCACACCAACTTTCTTAAATTATCTGAGCATGTTTATACTCATCTAATATTTGTATTGTCATGCCATGTTATGCCTTATTGAGGAGGAAGAAAAGACTGTTGTCAATCAGTTGTAGGATGGCAGTGACTAAGGAGAATTGAGTTTGGAAATGCCTTTGTGGTTATCAGCACTAATCAAGCAATGTTAGAGAAGTAAGAGGATTCATAAATTTCTTTGGGGGACTGAGGAGGGAGCTGCAGCTCTCTGACTGGCCTGCACTTTTTTGTTTTTGTTGCTGTTGTTTTTCAAGACGGGGTTTCTCTGTGTATCAGTCCTGTCCTGGCACTCACTCTGTAGACCAGGCAGGCTTCAAATTCAGAGATCCACCTGCCTCTGCCTCGACAGTGCTGGGATTAAAGGCGTGAGCCGCCACCACCCAGCTGGCCTGCACCTCTTGAGTAGATGCCCTAAGGCCCTTTCTCCCCCTGGCTATGCTGCCCTTGCGTAGTACATCTGGGATCCCCATATCTGACTCCACAACCCTAAGCTCTTCCTCTGCCCTATCTGGGAGATATCAGGCAGGTTAGTCCCTGAGCCTCAGTTCCTTCTCTCAAGTGGGAATTCTGAGGCTCACATGACATACTAACACAGCTTACAGGTGTCGCTGACTGTGGGCATACAGACTTCCTACCTCAAGTCTAGCCCCTCTTCCTTATTCTTCTAGAGCAAGACCTCAGCCAGGATCTACCCTACCTACCACACGGCTTTTGACACGTTTGATTACATGGAAAAGTTTCTGGACCCTGGTGAGGAGGGAACAGGGACAGTCTGAGGAGGGCAGAAGGATGGGCTGAAGATGCAATCCTGGCCTTGTGTCCCCTCTACAGGTTTCAGCAGCCACCAAGCTGTGGCCCGGACTGCTGGGAGTGTGCTTCTAAGGCTCAGTGATAGCCTCTTCCTGCCCCTTAAGGTCAGTGACTACAGCGACACACTCCGCAGCTTCCTGCAGGCTGCACAAGAGGATCTCAGCACCGTACTACAGCAGCATGGTATCAACCTGGGTACGCATACCCCAACACAGAAGTTCAGGGAACCCTGTATCCCCAGGCAGGGCTAAACTAGATGTTTCCCACCCAGGTCCCCTGGTGACTGCAGTGGAGAAGTTTGAGACAGCAGCTGCAGCCTTGGACCAGCGCATCTCAACACTGCAGAAGAACAGCCCCAAGTGAGCATGAGCAGTGGGCAGGTGTCTCGAAGGGGACACTAAGGGCACACATCAAGCCAGTAGCTGAACTGCTGGCTTGCAGGGTGACCCATATGCCTTCCAGTCCCTTGCAGGTACGGATGGTCAATGACCAGCTAATGCTCTTGGAACGGGCATTCCTGAACCCAAGGGCTTTCCCAGAAGAGCGATACTATAGGTGAGTCTATGACAAAGCTCCTGGGAGGTGGGGTAGAGCAATGATCCCCCACCCAAAGAGGTTCCTTCACTGCCCAATCCACTCACCGACGGTGGTTGGGAGTGAGGCCCCGCATGCCCTGCTCTAAACCCTGGCTTTCAGAGACCAGACCCTGGGAACAGTGAGGAGTTCCAGGCTAAGCCCTCAATAACCGTCAGCTTGCTATTTCTCCCCAGTCACGTGCTCTGGGCACCCAACACAGCCTCTGTTGCCACATTCCCGGGTCTGGCCAATGCCTATGCCAGGGCCCAGAATGCCAACTCTGGATCTGAAGCTTGGGCTGAAGTACAGAGGCAGCTCAGCATTGTAGTAACGGCCTTGGAGGGTGCAGCAGCCACCCTGGAACCTGCACATGACCTCTGACCCTAGCCCGCCTCTTGGGTTTTTCCTTTACCTTGCACCTCTCACACCTGTTTCTCTGGAGAACGTCCCAGTTTTTTCTGAGGTCAGGAGTAGATACAACCAGGGACCGCTCTCAAGCTTTTGAGACAACAGCTGGGGGTCCTTGCAGTTAAAGACACCTGCTAATGGTAGTGAGTGAAATTTGGGCCCAAAGAAGAGTGTAGAGACCATTGTCCAACCTTCTTTCTTGCCCTGCTCTTCAATGTTCTATCTCCCCTCTTAGCCCTCAAATAAATGAAGTCTAACAAGTTCCTGTAAAATGAGTTCCTTTTATTATGTGGGAATCATGAAAAGAGCCCCAGGTGCTCTGGTCCAGTTCTTGGACAACCCTCTCAAGCTGGAGATCCAGGTCTGTGCATGTCCTTGTCTTCCTCTGCCATGACCACTTCCTCCAGGGTGTGTCCCTGCAGCTTGCTTCCCACTAATATGTGGCAGGTACCAGGAGGTGGGAGTCCTTCCTCAGAGTAGCGACCCCTTAGGAATATTACTCTGTCTTTATCTAAGGTCAGTCCATGGGCCTGACACAGGTCCTGTGCTTCGTGGAGTCCATCCAGGGCCAGAAGGTGTACTATGAAGTCCAAAGGCAAGGTCTGTCCTTTAGGAGTGCTCAGGGCACGGGCCAGACAGGCCAGGGCTTTGCGGCGGGCATAGCCAATGTGTCCCTGCACTGCACAGCTCTGTAGGTAGGGCAGGGTGCGAAGCAGGCGAAACAGCCGGGCATGGTTGCCTTCACGGAAGGCAGCATCAACAGCCAGAGCAGTCTGAAGGGGTGGGCAGGCACGAAGGGTGGCAGGCAGCCGTAGAACTTCCTGCAGGGCTTCCACAGAGCCTGAGGGCCAAGAAGCAGAAGCAACAACGCTTAGTATTTTGTGTATCAGGCCTACCCCACATGCCATCCCCTCCAGCTCATTTCCAGAACTTAGAAATGTCTGCTCACCTGACAACTCCAGTCACGTCCCAGTCATGTGCCCTCAGAGAGGCTGACCCACTTCCTCTCTCCTCCAACCAAGACCCAGCCACCACACAGACCCTCCTCTCTTCCAGAACTTAGGAATGTCTGCTCACCTGACACTCCAGTCAGGTCCCAGTCATGTGCCCTCAGAGAGGCTGACCTACTTCCTCTCTCCTCCAACCAAGACCCAGCCACCACACAGACCCTCCTCTGATCTATTTGAGGTGCTACAAGACCACACCTCCTTCAGTCTAAATCCTTACAAGGGAGAAGTGGACAACAGTTTTACATTTACAGATGGAGACACAGACTATCTATTAAGAGTTTCTATTACTGAAACAGAACACCATGACTAAAAGCAAGTTGGGGAGAAAAGGGTTTATTTGGCTTACACTTCCAAATTGCTGTTCATCACTGTGGAAAATCAAGACAGAAACTCAAGCAGGGCAGAATCCTGGAAGTAGGAGCTGATAAGCCCATGAAGGGGTGCTGTTTACTCACTTGCTCAGCCTGCTTTCTTCTTTTTCAATTTTTCTCTGTGTGTAGCCCTGGCTGTCCTGAAACTAACTCTCTTTGTAGAGACCAGACCAGCCTCAAACTCACGGAGCTCCACCTACATCTGCCTCCACCCCACCCTCCTCAGCCAGTGTGGCTGGTAGTAAAGGTATGGGTCCCCCCCTCCCTGCTCAGCCTTTTTTTTCTTCTTCTCTGATGACTCTGGCTGTGTCAAGTTGACACACAAAAGCAGCCAGTACACAAGTCAAAACAAGGGCTTGCCTGAGACTGTCCTAGATCTCAGGCTAATTCTGCTAGACCCAAACCTAAATTTTCTGACTTGGGTTTCCCACTATCTAGGCTGCAGTATCAAAAGGATTTTGGGCTAGGCAGTGGTAGCTCACGCCTTTGATCCCAGAACTCCAGAGGCAGAGGAAGGCGGATCTCTGTGAGTTCCAGGCTAGTGTCTGGTCTACAAAGCGAGTTCCAGGACAAACAGGCTCCAAAACTACACAGAGAAATCCTTTCTCGAAAAGCAAAAAACAAACAAACAAAAAAGTAAGATTTTGGGTGCCGGCTTCATCTCACTCACTTCTCTATCTGGAAAGGTTGTATTTTTAGGAAGACGCTCTTTCTTTCCAGGAAATATTGACTACTGGAACCTTGGACCACTTTTGTAAATTAGTGAGTTTAAAAGTCACTCTGGGAGGGGTTGGAGAAATGGCTCAGCAGCTAAGAGCACTGGCTGCTCTTCCAGAGTACCTGGGTTCAATTCCCAGCACCCACATGGCAGCTCACAACTGTCTGAAATACCAGTTCCAGGGCATCTGATACCTTCACATCAATGCACATAAAAAGTTAAAGTTAAAAAAAAAAGTTAAAAAAAAAAAAAGAGTCACTCTGGGAAGGGTTGGAGAGATGGCTCAGCAGTTAAGAGCACTGGTTGTTCTTCCAGAGAACCAGAGTTCAATTCCCAGTACCCATATGGCATCTCACTACTTCTGTAACTACAGTTCCAGGAGATCTGACATCCTCACACAAACAAAACATCAATGCACATAAAATAAAAAAAATTAAAAAGTCACTCTGTGTGTGATCCAAATATAATGCATTCACATATAAAATAAAAAAACCTGCCTGCCTCTGAGTTGGGATTAAAGGCACCTGCCACCGTGCCCATCTCCTTTTGATAAATTCACCCACAGAAAGGACCTTTTAGCAACTTGTGTCAAATTTATTCATGGGCCAGCCTACCGAGTAGTTTAAAAATTTGGAAAGCATTTTCTAGGCCAACTCTCTATTACTATTCCACCTCCCTCCACCTCTATTATGGAGAAGCCCAGTTTGGGAATGACAGACCTGAGGTCCCAAAAGTCGGGATTAGGAGGAGCTATTGCTGAGTGATGAAAGCCACAGAATCCCTTAGCTACACTTCGCCGCTGATGCTAGAATTGCTTCTCTCCCAAGATCCTCGGGTCCCCACTCTCTGCTCTGTGGGACCCGACTCTCTCAGATTGTAGAGCAGAAAGAGGCCCTGGAAGGCGGCCTGGCGGGGGTGCGGGGCCTGGCCCCGCGCGTAGCAGCGCCGCAGCGAACCGAAGCCCTCCTGCACCTGCGTCTGCAGCAGCACCGGGTCCGGGGCTCCGCGCGCCTCTTCGGG